TATGACAAAAAAAAAAACGTTTTGAGTCTGAAACCTACTCGGAACAGTTTAGGGACTTTACTTACAGTTCTTTCACGCTGGAAATTTGCATATTTGGTGGTTAGACCGCTGCTTCAAAAGTCAGATCAGACAATTTTTTTGTTATATTTTATGTTTTTTTGCATATTAAAGATTTTTACTCAAAATCTAGCGAGTGGTAGTCGTATACCAAATACAAAATCTTTATGGTATTGATTATATTGTTGTTGTTTTCATTAGATTACAAATCTGTAAATTTCCTTGAGACTCTATTGAAACTTTTCATATAAAATTTACATTTGACAGCAAGGAAAATTGGTATTGGAATAATTAATTTTGGGTTTGAGCCGAAATCTTCAATGTGTGTGTGTCCATACATCATCGGGAATCTGTGTGTATATTGTGTGCGTTGCGAAGGTGTGAAGTGCAGCAAGTGTGAAAAGTACCATCGAACAGCAAAGATTTTCACACCTTACATGGCACACACACGCATACACACAAACATATGCACGCGCTGGTCGTCTTTTTGTTTGTTTTGTATCGAAGATTTTGTAGTTCCTGTTGTTGTTGTTGTTGTTATTGTGGCATTTTATGGCGGTCTGTTAGTGGTGTTAGTTGTGGCATAAATTGATGTGTACATGCCCATACGCCTTAAAGTATGCACGACAAATTAAACTTAACCTATACAAACAAGACAAGTTTGGCAAGTTTGAGCACACACACACACACATACATATTCATATATGTGTATGTGTGACATCCATATCGCGTGTGCAGTTTACACGTTCAAACTTAATTTAAGGTTCAATACAACGCAAACCACAAAAACTTGTGCACATGCAAGGAAATGTTTGAACACCGAAAACTGTAGCATACTTATGTGCGCCAAGGCATTTCGGGCAAACATATATAACTTTGCCGCGCTCATATACGGTCTGCGTGTGGGGCACGTATAAAATCTTGTGGTTTATTAGATTTTAATAATTCACAGGCGAAAACACATACACATATACATACACAGTTTCACAAATACATATAAACAAAAAAGCGCTTCACACACACATACAGACTCTACTTGTGTGCGCGCAAACTTCAAAGTTAGTGCTCGTCTTTTATCAACCGTTAGCAGTCACCGAAGCTGCATGCATGAGAAAACAACAACAATAACAAATACAGGCGCGTATTTTAGAAATGTGTAGTAGAAAAAGGGCAACGCAGAAGCACATATAAGATACAACACCTTCGGGAGCGTTTGTTTTGCTAACAAACTTAAAGGTTATGTGCAGCGAATTGAGTTAAAATCAAATCGCTAAAAGGAAAAAGGCGCAAGCATTACATTTATGCGTGTGTGTTTGTGTGCAACGTGAAAAACGTCACTAAAGGGAATTGATTTGAGTTAGTACGCTGGTAAGCGTGTAGCAAGTGAAAAATGTGAGCAAATTTTTTTATATTAAAATTTTTTATTAGAAAACTGGTGGCAAGGTGGAAAGCAAAGATGCTGAGCTTCAAAGAAAATCTATGGATGGGGAGAGAAACTTTGTATTTTTTACATACATTTAATGTTGTGGTGAAAACTGTGTTTTAGTGCATTATTTTTATATAAATTTCTACACTAACGGTATATGTTGTAAGACATCTAAAAGTTTTATACATATAACGGATGTTAATTTAAATTAATTAATTGTTTATTTAAATTAATTAATTTTTTAATATTCGCATGATTTTTACTCACCCGGTCTCGAAAGAACTTCCGGGTCATTGTTGGCCTCTTGACAGGTCATAAGCTATTCGCATCACTTTTCACATCTTAAACAGAACCTTCATCTGGCATTATTGTACTTAGGACCAGTAAGTCTTTGTATGGCGTGACTGCCGGCCAGTATAACCTAACCTAACTTATTTTATTTTTAATTATATATTATAAAGTAATTTTTAATACTGAATACATAATACTGAATTGAAAAAAAAATTATATTAAGCTAATTAAAAGAAAAAAATTTTATTTTAGAATTTATATTTCTGCGCGTTTGCGTTTTTTTACATTTTGGTTAAATTGTGAAAATGAAAGCATTTTTTCAGTAAAACATCAACATAGTTAATAGTTTTTCAGTGATCAATATGTAAATCTTACCTCTTTTTTAATTATATCATGAAAAATTAGATATTAAATTATCGACTATTATAATTAAAATCAAAATATAAAAATATAAATTTAAATATAAAATCTTGAATTATTTCTATGAAAAAAAATTATTATTTACAATGTTCAAATTTTATTACATTTTTATTACAATTCTTAATACCAAAATTGAAAGTGTAATTTTTAATCCGAAATTTTTGATTTAAAAAATTTGCAATCCTTGGGAAAAAGAATCATTACTATGAAAAATTAACAAAATTTTGCATCAAGTAACCACGTCTTGCTACCATATAATGGTATTGTTGAAAACTGTTGACAGGGCAATAGCTTAAGCACGGGTAACACCAATAAGCAGTAGAATATCAGCAATAGAATTAGATGAAATGAGAACTTTTATATACGCACCAGTTCAAAAATTGCTTTATGGGCGTGGCACTTCCCACTTTTAATGGAAATTTTAAATTTCAAAAACTACTCTAGCGATTTGAATGAAATTTATATGACATATATTCTGAATGCTCTCAGACATTCTCACCTCTTTCTCTTCCACTAGTATAAAATCGGGGCACAAACACGCACCTAACCGTTTATTATAGATATTAGCGATTGAATTTTGATTATAGTCACCATGACCATTTTATGGAGCACTCAGTTTCCTACAAAACTATGAACTTTCAGATTTATAATGATTTTTTTCAGTTATTAAAGTCATAAGATAAAAGTAAATTTGCCTTAAATTTATAATAATAAGAAAAAATTTTAAAACTGTAAAATGGAGGACCTTCCCGTTACAATTAAGATCTCATGCATGGAGAGATTTTCCTACCGGTGTCTAAGAACCTATCTTTCAGAGTACCAAGCGAAAGAAAAAATATTCGATTTTTTTGACCCACCCTAATATACATATAATATATAGGTTAGATTATGACATATCATCAAACATTTTGTTGAGAATATTATACTGCAGATAAAGTATCATTGTGATAAAAATGGTTGAAATCGGTTTATACAATACATTCTCTTAGTATCCGTATATACAATAAAAAGCTCTTAATTGCTAAGGTTAACTTTGCACGATATACTGGTATATCGGCCAGCTTTGTCATATTAGTTTAATGAAATTTTATGAAAACATTATATATTTAGGAAACAATCCAATAATATATTTGTTATAAAACAATATTTAAGAGCAACCGAAAATATTATGCGACATTGCGTCTATATTTAGCGTTTACTTACTAGTTTTTAATTTTTTTTATAAAAATCCAGTATTATTTGTGGCTTATTTCATTTTGCTGAAAAAATTAAATTTTAATCCCAGCTATAGTTATTGCCTCGCTGCGCCTAATTGTGCGCTATGCTATTGACTTAGAAACTTTTGGTAATATGTTAATATGCTAAAACTGTTCATTGACACCGAAATCTGTGCACAAAGAAGCACTTTACTACAAAGAACAAATAAAAATCTGCAGTTTATTAAAGTAGTGCGGCATGCAATGTAAATAAATTCATATGAGTAACACATATTTAAAGGCGTACACAGTTATCAAAGTACCAAGGGTTTGGCAGTTGAATGAGCAAACAGTCAAAACAGCAAATGATTTTCGAAATGCAGCAACACGCGGCGCACACAGTCGTGAAGACATTTTTTCAAATATGTAGCCTACATATAGGCGCAGGGGAGGCAACAGCAGGCAGGAGCACCACAAACAGCTACCACTTTTGACGTTTATTGTTTGCCTGTCAATATTTGTTTGAAGTGTTTGATTTGCTTTTACGCGCCACACAAACACGTCGCACAATACAGTGAGTATGTGGAATTTTGCAAAATTCCAAAATTCAAAATTGGCTTGCTAAGCATTTCCATTTGTGGCGCTGCTACAGCCAACTAACAGCATATTACTACTCTAAGCCGCAAATTAGAAAAGTTTCTAGTGGCAAAACGTAAACAAAAATCTAGTGAGGCGAACAACAAGCTCAAAAAATATGCCGAAAAATATTAAGAACTAAAAAATCTCAAAAAACTGGCATTTAAATACTAAAATCGTCAAAATAAACCTAAAAACTGCAAATATATAGCATAGCATTGAGTGCGCACGCAAAAAAGTCACAGCAATTTGCGAGGCGCACAAAAGTATGCAATGCATTCGTGCATATAAATTTAAGTGAATTGTAAATATTGATATTGGTGAATGAAATGTATGAAGGCAGTGAATTTGTAGACTGCTTTCAGGCGTGCTATGCAAAGTAAACTGATTTAATTTATTTATGGGGCAAGACAAATGTAAGAATCTCGAAATGCTTTGAAATGGGGAGAATTTAAAAATATTAATAAATTTTTTTTTAGACAAAGCGAGTTGATTTCGCTGGAGCATTTGCGCCCTTCGCCAATAAAGCAGCATATTTTCAAGCTTCTAACGCAAGAAAACCCCGCTGGGTCTAATTTCGCTGTTTGTTTTGTATTAACTGATTATTGTTTTCTTGTATTTACATTGGCATTCACACTCACCTCCATTTATAGTTGACGCTATTATTTTATGTTGTCATCCCTGCAATAACCTAAGTGAAAAATTCAATTTGTCCTTTGTTTGCGCATGGAGTGCGCATCAATGACCGCTGTTTCGCACATTTCCTCTCACTACAGGATCATTAGAGTTGTAGAACAAATTATAAAATCATATAAACATGAGTTAGGGTGTACTTACATACTTCGAAAAAAAATATCTATATTTATCTTTATCTCTATCCTGAACCTTAACCTTAACCTTATTCTTAACAATATCCTTGTCGTAATCTGTTATGAATTAATATAAATCTGGCAACATTAAATTTAATTTTCTTTTTACACTATTCTTAGGTATATTATATTCAATAAAGTCAGTCGCCGTCTAACATTGAAACTACGTGTTTCATAACTCTGCTCAACATTATCCTGATCCTTATTAATATTATTCTTATCCTTATCCTTATCCCTATCCTTATCCATATTATCCTTATCCTTATTCATATCCTTATTCTTAGCCTTATCGTTATCCTTATCCTTATCCTTAACCTTATCCTTGTCCTTATCCTTATCCTTATCCGGATCCCTGTCCTGATCCTGCTGCTTATCCTTAAGCTTATCGTTATACTTATTCTTATCCTTATCTTCGTCTTCGGCTTCGTCTTCATCCTCATCTTCATCTGAATATGATTCATCTTCATTTTATTTGAAAATGAGAGGCGAAATCTATCCCAAGCATATTCTAAGACCACGTTCATATCATTCTCTAACGTTTTCTCTTCTTCACCCTCTATTTATTCAAAGCAAGTCCGTGTCGGATCAGTCATTTCTTAAAACAGCAGTAAATAAAGACATTCGTGCCCTCACTGTTAAACGTATATGTATCCACGAATATTGTTATTTCTTTCTTTACTCTCACTCTCTGAGTTTACTTCGGTTACTTTTGGCGAGTTTTTGATTTGAAATTCAAACTCGTCACGACCAGTCATCTTTGCAATAAGTTAGTCAAGCGTCTCCCGCAACACTAGTAGATTACACGTAAGAATGCAATATGATCATTTATAATTCCGTAAGTAACTTAGAAGGTGGGCGTGGAATTTCTGCCACCACGCCAGTTATGCTTTATATCTTAATAATGTTTATTTTTCGTTAAGAATCGCACTGCGTATACAAATACGAAGCTCTCTTGTGCATGAGGATAGATTATATTATATAAGCATTATTGTTATATTGGATGTTTTGTCGACTCGCTAATTATAACAAGTTTGTATGAAAAATATAGATTTTATACTTTCGAACAAAACAGCTAATACTTATGAGTTATACATAAATATATTGATGAGGGGATGATTCGCGGATTGATTTATAAAGCTTTTCGAATTAAGGAACGAAGTAGTTAGAGAGCATTCGATTATTAAGAAGACCTTAATACAGAGTGGCTCACGAGTCATGCTACAAAAACAAACCGTAATACTTCTTTTTTAATCAATGCGTTACTTATATACCATTAATTATTTTCAAAAATTATGGATTGAAGTCGGGAGCCTTAATTATGGTTTATTGGACTGCTTCAGTTAGTCAGATTTCCGAGTTTTGTTTTGTTCACCTCTTGCGTGACATAATCCCATAAAAAACGTCTGGTGCAGTCAGGTCAGGTGACCTTGGAGGCCGGCGGAAAGTGGAGTTTCTTGATATTATTTTTGTTTTCAAATTTTCGTTATAGCTCCGTGATAACCAGTCTGGCTATGTGTGCAGTTGCTCCATCCCAACTAAACACTAATGAAAGGGATACGTCTCCGGCGCAATTCTGGGTAAAAAACTCATTCAACATCTTTAAATAACGCTGGCCATTGACCGTTACTGTTACACCGTTTTCTTCAAAGAAGTATGACCCGACAATACACCTTGTTGATACTGCGCACCACACAGTGACTCGTTCTGGCAATTATCAAGGCAATTTATCAAGTTATTGTCTTCTTCGGCCATATCAATAATTTTTTGGCAACATTCCAGGCGAATAGGCAAATCTAAAGGGTTTAACCTGCATATTATTTGAACGTTGTACGATAAGAAGTTTAAGTCATCTTGAATTATCCGTTATAATGGCCGTCTACTAACTACAAGCTGCTGGAGTTTGCCTGAATTGACGATGCAACAGCCGTTATTGTCTCTTGAACACGAACATACGGATCGCGATGGTATGGTCTTCTTGCGATACTTCCAGATTCGGCAAACAAGTTTACCAACCTTATAATGGTTTATCTACTCGGGGTGTGCGACCAAAACTCCCGTTTGAATTCCCTTTGGGCGGTAATGACGGACTGCAAGGTACCAGCTGCACTATCAAACCCTATTTTCGGTACCTCAAGCATTAATTTTTAAAGACAATACAATTAAATTTAAAATTTAATTTTTAAAGACTAAATAATAACCTGCCAAATAAAATAAAAGTAAATCGATTACTAACACCGAAAAAATTTTATTACGGTTTGGTTTTGTAGCACGATTCGTGTGCCACCCTGTATAATATAACCCAAAACTATATGTAGCTATGAAGATTTATAATTTTAAAAGATCTTATAAAATTTCGAGGTCGAAGGTTTTTTGATTTATGGAAGCTTTTAAATATCTTTAAAAAGCTTTATTATCTTTGGTTCCTGGGTCTTTGCTTGCTGAAAGTTTGAATGCACTTAGGTATTTGTTTTTATTTTTCTTTTCTGGAAGATTTTAAAGGTTTTATAAAGTTATCAAAGGTGTGAGCTTTTTTGTTTCAGAGAGCTTTTAGAAAATTTATAAGTTATTTGTTATTATAACTTACTAGGCGCCCTCCGCTGCGCTCCGGGACGCTCGCTTAGCTCGCTCGCCTACGTCCGCCCCCCGCCGAGCGCGAGCTAGCTCGCTCTTATGTTAGTTGATTCTCAACAGCAGCAGAAAACTTTTATATATAATAGACAGAACTTTAAAGCTTTTAGCAGTTGTATATATTATACTTGGTTCTCAAAGAGTAAATTTTTGTAAGTGGACGAAAGCTCTCTTTTTCACTTTAAAAAACTTTAATTGTTCCTCTTTGAAAAGTTGTACATCTCTCTTTCTCTCTTTCTCTCTCTTTCTCTATCTCTCTTTCTCTATCTCTCTCTCTTTCTCTCTCTGAAGAACAGAACTTTATATTAATTCCTCTCTCAGAATAGCTGAACCAGATCAAAGATTGTCACTCTAGGAGCGTGTCCAAAAACTTTCTGGGGCTCCTCATATAACAATAAAGCAACTTATATGAAAAAACAAACCTTAAAAAATTTTTTTTATGCATGCTCCATATGAACATTAATATAGTTTTATATTAACTTAATTATTTTTAAGCTCTACTAAAGTCTTTTTGTTAGAATTTTCAGAGACACCACCAACCCGAAATGACACATAAAGTCTCTTTACTCTTTTATCTGCACTTTCTTGCGTTCACTCAAGCATTTTAAGTATTTCTTGTTAATTTTTCACACATTTCCCGCGAAACTTCACCAATCGAGTTTGTGTTTAAAAATGTTTAAACTTCTTTTTACCGATTACAAATAAGCTGTCAATTAGGCGTGTCGACGTGCCAACGAGCTAGAAACACCTGCTGCATGCCAATGGCAAACAGCGGCGCATTGAAATGCCGCATATGCTACATGCCACATGCTACATGCCACGCACAAGGTGTGCTGTGCTGTGAACGCTTGACTGGATTGGCAAAGTTTTTGCGGCTTTTTCAATATTTTATGAGACCGAAGGCACAAATGCACAATAAAACGAACAAAAACAACAACCAATATAATGAAAAGAAAGCATAGAAAGCAATACAACAGGTTTTGGCGTTGCATGCACACACATACATGCAAGAAAAGCAGAAATCTTAAGGTGTACCAAGCGAGTTTGCAAGCGGAAGTGCGGCAGGAAGTTAAAAGTGAGCGCATATAAGCGTTATGTATGGGCGTTAGCAGGCCAGGAAGTAATCTAAAGTTAAGTGCGAACTTCGTGGTGTGTGTTGCAAGCACGTGGTTGAGTGTGTTGGTGGCAGAAAACGCTTGGTAATGGAAGTTGCTTGCGTATTTATTTGTTATTGTTATCGGGTTTTAATGTATTGTTAGTGTTGGTTTTTGTAATTGTTGTTGTTGTTGCCTTTTTATTGTTTTTATTATTGTTCTGACTTTTGTTGTTGTTGTTTTTATTGTTGTTATTGTTTTTGTTATTACTATTGCCTGTTCTTGGAATGCGCCATTGAATATTGCAAAACAAACGATTTATTTGCCAAGCAACAGACGCAACGCCGCTATGTTTTTCTATTACCTCCCAACCCGCTAACTGCCCATACACGTTTCCGGCGCAAAGCCACACAGCTCGGCATACACTGATACACGCGCATATACAGCAAGTTTTTCTTACTTTTCACACCTGCTTGTCGTGTTTTTCTCATACCGTCTTCGTAATTTCAGCTCCACAAAGAGGTTACGTATACGCCACGTATGCCCAACCAAACGCCAAAATTGCGGTTTTCCTGTTTCCAATCGCTACCAAGTGTTGCTTCCTAGTCGGCTTTTGTTTGTTCTTGGTATTTATGTACTAAATGAAGAAAATGAAGTTTGTAACTATGTGTGTTTGTGTGTTTATATGTGTGCGGCTGTGTAACTGAATGAGCCAAAATTAAACAATACAAAAGATTAAGTGCAGATTTGCGACTTTATCTGTATGCTGCCATAAATTGGTATTTAAAGGATGCCGCACAAGTGTACAAACATCAATGAAGCAGAGAATAAGATATAAGCTTATAAATATGCTGCTAATAGTGGAGTTGAATGGTAGTACAGGTTATGCGCATATGTGTGCATGTGTATGCTTAAAAGTGGATCTATAAATAAATTTATGTGTGCAAATATGTTTACAAATAAATAGAATAAATAGGTGTCCTAAAGTTGTTATGCTTTTAATTATAAGCTGATATGGCTTCGGTCTCGTTCTGAGACCTCGGCAGGGAGAGTCCTAGTTATAGTGTTGGCATAGTTTTTGTTGTTGTTTTATGTTAGTAGCTTGGGGATTGCTTGCTGTAACTACTTTGAGACAAGGGAGGTTATTAAAAGCTAGTTGGTGCACATCTAAAATAAAGTTTTCTGTTCCTTACTGCAAAGAGCTAAACTGGTGGCCTAAGGTTCCCGCTTTCCGAATCCTTCGGTCGAATATTAGCTTGAATGAGGATAATATTATCTGCTATATACGGCTACTTTTTTGGTAGTGGTATACTATAGTGCTCTCTCTCTCTCTCAATACATTATAACTTTATAACAATAGCCACCAGAAAATTGTGGAGTTAAAGGAAATTGACATGTTTCACTTGGAAAATATCCAGTAAAGCTCCAGAGAGTCTGAACTAAACTGAATATAAAAACAAGAAAAAACGTTAACTTCGGCGCAGCTATATACTATAGTGTTCCGATCTGAACAATTTCTTCGGACATTGCGTTGTTGCTTTGAGGAATAACCCGTGCCAAATGTTGTGGAGATATCTCGTAAAATAAAAAGGTTTTCCATTCAAGAACTTCATTCCGATCGTTCAGTTTGTATGTGCCGACAAATGAGTAGCTTTTTGCTGAGTAAAGAACGTGTGGAAAATTTTGGATCAATATCTCAAAAACCGAGAGACTAATTCGCGTGAATATAGACAGACGGATATGGCTAAAACGAGTTATTATTTTTTGTATTTGTGGCAAACTTAATACACCCTGTTCAGGGTATAAAAAGGTAGATACTTCAATTAAGGAAACAAAAGCGAAGTAGATTATGTGTCAGAAAATCTAGTTTTACCGTTATTTTAAAGCGAAGTCATTTAAAAGAAGAGTAGCAGCAGAAAAACTACGAAACCAAAAACCTGAATACATCTTAGAGACAGCAAAGGAGAACCCATTGGTGTCAAAGCAGTCTAACTGTCAAACCGAGAATTGAAGTTTAGGCGCTGCTGTGCATT